ACCCTCTCTTCTCTCTCTTCTCTCCTCTCTCTCTCTCTCGCCCTTTCTCTCTCCTCTCTCTCCCCACTCTTCTCCTCTCTCTCTCCTCTCTTCTCGTCGTCTTCTTCTCCTTCTCTCTTCTCTTCTCTCTTTCTCCCTTCTCTCCTCTCTCTTCTCTCTCTCTCTCTCCTCTCTCTTGCTTTTTCTCGCTCGTGTCTTCTTTCTAAATTCTCTGCTCTGCACTCGCTCTTCGCTCTAAGTGCTCTCTCTCTCTCTCTCGCTCCCCTCTCTCGCCTCTCTCTCTCTCTCTTCTCTCTGTTCTCTCTCTCTTCTCCGCCCTTTCTCTCTCCCTCGCTCCCCACTCCTCTCTCTCCTTCTTTTCTTTCTCTCTCTCCCCGCTCTCCTCGTCTCTCTCTCTCTCTCTTGCTTTTTTCTCGCTCTCGTCTCTTGCTCTCGCTCATCGCTCTGGGCTCTTCTTCTCACTCCTCTCTCGCCTCTCTCTCTCTCTCTGCGTGCTCTCTCTCTCTCTCTTTCGCGCGCGACCGGTCTCGCGGAGAGAGAGAGAGAGAGAGAGAGAGAGAGAGAGAGAGAGAGAAAGGGAGAGAGGGAGAGGGAGAGAGAGAAAGATAGACAAGCGCTTGCAAGCAGCTGCCGTATGCAACAAGCGGGCAAGCAGTGAAACCACAAAACAGAGGCTATCAGTAGAGCGAACCGCCTCTCTGCAAGCAACTGACAGAACAACCGTCTGAAAGATTTCTACTGAACAGCCAGAATGCCTCGTTCCTTCCTCATCACGAACAAACGCTACAAATCGCATCTCAACTTATACGAGGATGACATCAACAGCGACTACAGCAGTAGTAAAGGTACGTACGTCCGTGTAACCCACCTGCAATAGATTTTTCGGCATTTCTGTGCCATCCAGCCGCTATGGTAGTGTATGTCTGTAGTTCACGCTAAATTTAAAGTGCCTATAGATAGAATATGGCTGTTTCTGGTAGAGCGCGTTCCATAAAACATAATAAATATAGAACTGACTCATTCAACTCTTAAACGATGCTCGCTAATATATATGCACCGTATATCTATTTTGGGTGGATAGCTACGGAGGCGATAGCGTTAATGCAGATTATAGCGACCCAGTATACTCGTGTTTACGTTGCTGCGACCAATTCACATAGAAAATAGCAGAAGTCGGCATATGCACGATTCTAGGCGATCACTAGTATTATTGATTATATCACATTGCCAGGCGTTTTTCTATTTGTTATTATCATTATTAGTGTTTACGAGAATGTTGGGCTGTTTACTTTTTGTTGTTGTTATTATTACTACAACTACTACTACAACTACTACTACTACTACTACTACTACTACTACTACTACTACTACTACTACTACTACTACTACTACTACTACTAATAATAATAATAATATTATTATTATTATTATTAATTATCATTAATTACGAGATGGCCAGACTGTTTACTATTTGTTGTTATTATTATTACTGATTACCAGATAGTCGGGCCATTATTCGGGGTATTATTTATATTATTATTAATATTATCGTTATTATTATTATTATAATTATTAGTATTGATTACTAGATTACATCGTTGTTGGTGATCACCACTGATGTTGATTGCGATAGGTCGTTGTTTTGATAATATTGGTAATCCAACTCTCGTGTATTATTCTTCGCAGAGAACAGACCGCTGTGCGCGTTGCCATGCCCCGTTATCAACTGGCCAGCATACAGGGACCAAATCACCGACAACGGCGTCAATGTCGGTCTCATCTACGATTCTGCATTAGAGAAGCGATGCCTCGCCAGCAACCTCATCCCCTTCGTCAACTTCCATTCCTACTGCGACCGCACCATTACGACAAAAATCGAAGCGTCGCGAGCCGACCACGTCCAGATGACGACAAATATCGAAGCGTCGCCGCTGCCGACGATGACGACGAAGGCGCCCGTTTGGCGTCCGCAGGTCGGCAACCCGGAGTTTCTGGGCGTGCCAACGCCTCCCAGTTCACCGGAAGCGCCCGAGGTGGAGCAGTACGACTGTCCGGAGTGCGGGAAACAATACAGTACATCTAGCAACCTAGCTCGTCATCGCCAGACGCACCGCAGTGTCACCGACAAGAAAGCGCGTAAGTGTCCGCACTGCGACAAGGTGTACGTGTCGATGCCGGCGTATAGCATGCACGTGCGCACGCACAGCCAGGGATGCCAGTGCCTGCACTGCGGTAAATGCTTCAGTAGGCCCTGGCTTCTCCAAGGACACATACGCACGCACACGGGAGAGAAGCCTTTCAACTGCCCCGTCTGCAGTAAGGCGTTTGCCGACAAATCGAACCTGCGCGCGCACGTGCAGACACACTCGAACAGTAAGCCGTACACGTGCGCGCGCTGCGGCAAGGCGTTCGCGTTGAAGAGCTACCTGTACAAGCACGAGGAGTCGTCGTGCATGCGCGCGGGCGGACGCGCGGGCAAGGACGACAGGTATCCGACTCCACCTGCCGAGCGGTGATGTCATCCACCGTGAGCTGTGACGTCATCGACTGTGAGCGGTGATGTCATCATCAACTATGGGCGGTGATGTCACTATTATGAGCGGTGATGTCACCAACTATGCGCGGTGATGTCACGAACTGGCTTTGCAACGTCACCAACAAGGCGCCAGTATCACCTACATCATGACGTCATCAACATCGCGATAGTAGACTAGTCAATATACGTCACCAACAACGAGCGATGTCTCATAGTCAGGGGGTGTTCGAAGAATGCACTGCATACCAGGTGAACTGCAAACGATGGGCGCTCACTGCAATAGTTGACGCAAGTGCGATTGGTTGAGAAAGGCGCGAGCATCAAATAGCCGTGCGCGTCTACGCAGTTGCACGAAGAAAAACTAAAAGGGAATCTATGAAGAAATCAACGATCCCTCACACTTAGGACAGCTCTCTACGAAGCGCATTCAGTAGGTGTGCGTTGACATTTACCCTGACGCATCAAACTAACTACGTTTCGTGACGATAAGTGTTTCAGATGATAAGAAGATGATTTATACGTACACCCATCGTTCATCGGTTACGCCTTTGCTCTGCTAAGGACGAACCTGGGGCCATTGTATGAACGTGGGGGGGAGGGGGCACATGCGTGGGTGTCCGTCGGTAACTTATATATGTGTATGTGTTTATAGAGTAAACTCTATCGCGTGATGTAGCTGATAATAATGTGTTTAGTTGTCGTAGAAACTGAGGCAGCATAAACGCGTGGTGCAATTCGCTAGGATCGACTATAACTGGGATAGTGAAAGAAGACGTATAATTCCCGTCTATGTCAGACATAGGAAGCGTTGAGAGGGAGAGAGAGAGAGTGAGCTGCACGTTTGATTTTTGTGATAATGTTAACGTTATGTATACGGAGACGATATACAGCCCTGAATGACAGCACGCTGTGTTAAGATGTTTTTACGTTTTAAATAGTACGTTAGACATGTAAACATGTTCATATTGAGTCTAACCGCTCGCGTCTTGTCCGTTGATGTTTTAGTTTAAAAAATGTTCTCGTTTATTCTTTGTCTGGTGAGAGTTGATCTGGGGTAACTTTTTCTTGTGATACTTTCTGTTGCATCTCGACAAGGCGGTGCTATTTGCTCCGCCACTTTCTACAGTTTCTTTTTTTATCTTTTGTACGGAAAATTTTATATTTTCATACTGAACGAAGGAACAACGCGATATTTTCCTTCCGTTCCTTGCGACTTCTGCGAGCTCGAGCGATGCAAAACCCTCCCTTTTTAGTTAGATTTTCACTTCTCCATACTTTCATAACTTATCGATTTCTTAGCCTGTAAATATATTTATCGATATTTATTGTTAATTTATGCCGATGTAAACCGAGTTATCGCAGCAATGCCATATAATGCAGATCATGACTTGCAGTATATACCTGCGCGCGCATGCTGATACTTGCACACAGCAACACCATTGACTCAGCTGATGGTTGTTTATTTATTTATTGATGTAGTTGTAATCACATCCGATACCGTGTAACTAGTATTTAGTATTTAAGACGCAAATTCACAATTAAAAATTAATATATTGTATTTAAAAACGGTTGTAAATGGAATCGGCAAATGGACGATAAACATGTCGTTTAATTTAAAAATTCTGCTGATGTATGAGCGTAATGGTAGCGACCGACCACGTATCAAGTGCCTTTCATTCTCTATCGATGAGTGTTGCTAGCATGTATGTAGCTGTTTGATCTGGACATGTCGCATGCAGTGAATCGATGTATTTGCGACTTCAAATCGTTAGAAATCCGACAATTTACAGAATTGCACCTGGAATCGGATCCATCGACTGCAAGTTCACTTTGTATAAAATACTATTGTATGTAGCTTAAGGTGAAATAAATATATTGACTTTTTTCTACACGATATTCGGGTGTTTCGACATGATAGTCTCAGTTTGTACGGTCAACTAAATATAAACTCTCACAAGGCGGCGTTTTCAACTCAAAATACTGAATCTGTATATCGCATATCGTGTTTTGATTTCTCAAAAGAAAAGAAACTTGAAAGAGAAAGGAAAAACATGGTACACAATATTTCATTTTAGTCTATGAATGATGCATGGCCAATATCATGTCAGACATTTAATGCTAATATTCGCGTTAAAGAAAATGCGATTTCTTTCAGCTGTCTCCAAAAAAACATCGCTTCCATTAAAAAATGTCATCATCGGAAAAAACACATCACAGAACGCGCATACCATCGAAAAAATTAGAACGAAGGACGAAACACGCCCCGCGGTAAACACATTTGCATAAAGCAACGATTTTCGGGTATCCGAGTAAACACAAACATGATCGCGATGTCTAGCGACGCGCACGACACCTGGCATGTGTTAAGCCGCTGGTATGCGTTAAGATGCTCACCGCCGATCGCGAGCAGGAATTTTTTGCCATAACATCGCGATTTGCAGTGAGAGAAGGAGAGAGTAGCGAGTGGGTACGCGCGAGTATACTGCGGCTGTTATGAATGGACCACGGCCACGCCCGTATATCCACCACGAGCACAGCACACATGCCGAACTTGCTGCAGCCGACGACAACGATGACGATGACGATTCAGCGGCAGGAGGGGGAGGAGGGGGAGGAGCATGAGGTGAGATTCCATCTCTGAATCTTCGCGGGGCTGGTGTCAGGCGTTGTTACAACCCGATAAGGTTACTGGGTACCCCCCCCCTCGCGTACGCACGTGCATTCACGCGCACGCGTGCGCGCGCATATACCAGCTGCAACCTGCTCTTCCTCCCCCGCTCTCTCTCTCTCTCTCTCTCTCTCTCTCTCTCTCTCTCTCTCTCTCTCTCTCTCTTTCTTTTTCTTTCCCTGTCTCTCTCTGTCTCTCTCTCTCTCTCTCTCTCTCTCTCTTTCTCTCTTTCTTCTCTCTCTCTATTTCTCTCTCTCTCTCTCTCTCTCTCTCTCTCTCTCTCTCTCTCGCGCGCGCTCTCTCTCTCTCTTCTCTCTCTCCCTCTCGCTCGCTCGCTCTCTCTCCCTCTCTTTCTTTCTCTCTCTCTCTCTCTCTCTCTCGTTCTCTGCGCAGGCACTGTGCCATACTATACTTTGTTTCCTGCCCCGCACATGTACCAGCACCATATATAGCGATCGGGGCGCACACATGCCATGGGTAGTCGCTGACTGGCCATTGATGGTGGTCGCTTGACAGCAGCTGCACAGCTGTGCAATGTCGGCCAGCTACAGGCGGCCCCCACAATACAGATCCCCGCACGCTAGCCGCGCGTTCATTCATAAACAGAACTCTCTCGAAGAGCCAGCCGCAGATATCACGTTATAGCCGCCTTGCAATGACACATGGCGAGAAGCGTGCCGTGCGCATGCGCACGCGCCATCACCCCTCCCCCTCCCCCCAGACGCCACCGCCGTAGGAGTCGGTGGCGGCGAGGCACGGAGGAGGGGGGAGGAGGGGGAGGAGGGGGGAGGAGGGGATGTATTTACGGTGAGCTCTTTAAAGCTATCGGAACGCCACAGAAATACGAAACACGTGTACGAGGCACGTCGCTTGATTTACGCGTGCGTGTGCGTCTGTGAGTGTGAGGAGGAGGGGGGAGGGTGGGGGAGGATGTCACTCGCTCCACACGCTGTGCCACGCTGGTATAGACGCCCGCCCGGTCACACAGCCTGTTTTCTGTCGGCCGCATCGCCACCACGCAGAGACGCGCGTGCTTGACGGGGTACGCCAACGCACAGCTGTGGGCTCCCATCTGTTTTTAGGAACGCAATGTTGTTTTTCCTGAAATGAATTAAAAATGGGGGAAAAAAATAATTACCATTTTTTAGAATATTCGGCGAGCGAGAGAGGACACGAGCAGCGATGTTAATCAGTGACATTTATTTCACGAACGCTTCTTTCATCCGAATAAATCCGAATCCGTGTGTAACCGCGATCGAGTGTTTGCACGCGGCATCGCGAACGCTAGCCGTTTGGTTACATTCATTCACACTACATCTGTTATCAGATATTGACAGACCGCCCAACAGAAACAACATTTTGATATCGAGGCCTGCCACTAAATCCCGCTTGGCTCTGGCAGTACTCAGAAAGGCTTTGTGCTGAATATCATGCTTGTTAGTGTAGCATTAAGCAGAGTACCCACGACTGACCACCTATCGAGCCAAGAAGAACAGCTAGAAAGCACGTGGCTAATTGTAGGGTGGGTTAATTGTGATTTCAGGCTGTGTGTAGAGTAGAGAGTAGACCACTCCTATCCGTAAGTTTCTTCCCTCAACACGGCAGCTGGTTGAATTTCTGGACAACCTTAGATACGAAACAGATGTTTTTTTGCATAAACTAGCTGCAGCCATCTTCACGTATGTCAGATCGGTTACCATCTCCGCAGAGACTGGTTTTTAACACGAGTTCTTGACGGTTATTGTTAGAAAATCATTCCTAAAATCTTGGTTTAACGATGATATGGTGATTTTATTGGCGATTATATGGTGACTATACTTCTTCCTGATTATTTCTACTCTAAATTATAACATACAAACCACGTCCCTACATCACAACCCTTCAAAGTAGAAACCCGCAACAATACGCCCGTAATAAAGGCGAATAAGGATAAAATGCAATTATCACTTACGTGTGCGACCCGTTGCGCGACTCTCTTAACTCTGTTAAACGAGCCCTTTAAACTTTCACATTGCCCGCTATAACGCGGCTATATAACATCTTAGGCGATCGAATGTCTTGGACCTTAATTATCGACTTTCAACTGGACTCTATTGTACGATTAAAAATGCGCTCGCGTTTAATATTCTCACGCACGTCCGTCCTCGATGACTGTGCGGACACACTCCCTTCATATATACACACGCACGCACGCACGCACACGTGTGTGTGTGCTTGCGTGCGTGCGGTGTGTGTGCGTGTGTGCGTGTGTGTGTGTGTGTGTGTGTGTGTGTGTGTGTGTCGTG